AGTCAAGTTTTCACCCACAGATACACCTGGGATTGCTGATTCCCCCAGTCTGCCGGATTGCAGGTGGTCGCTCACACACATCTTGCGTCCACTCAGACCCTAAATACCACAGCAGATTTTCCAGAAACACAGGATCATCTTCTGATTGCTGTATGGGGCATGTGCCTTGCAGCAAGTCCCGGCCAACCTCAAACACAGTTTGAAAACCTGAGCCAATCTCATGAAGTTTGGTATTTTTGGTTTACTCTGATTCAGCTCTGCACTCAGTCATTCCTAAGATGTTTTGGCTGTTCTGACAAGGGGGTACCCTACCACGTCATCACCTGCCTGTTGCTGTACACCTCTAGACTGTTTTCTTGGCCAATGCCAAAAATACCTCAGAATAACTGTTTCCAAAACACAATCTAATGGCAGTCCTGAAACAGTGTTGCCACCCTCCCCTCAGGAGCTGGGACTGCTTGCCTTGGCAAGACAGTGGGAAGCTGGGATGGGTCTCAGCAGGAATCAAGAGCAATTTGTGTGGGTGCCCAGCTACTCACAGGCAAAATACAAGCAAAATGTAGTCACAGCACCAGCAGGTGCAATTACAGTTTGGCTTTAGTGGGAGCTGAGCCCACTCAGGTTGAGGTCGATCTGAGCCTCCCAAAAATGGTCTCACCAGGTAGTCCCTGAGGGAGCAGCCCCACAGAGAGCTGCAGTCAGCCCTGGGCAGTCCCACACATCCAGAGAAGGGTCCCTGTGGCCCTGGGCTGGGTGCCCACTGGCCCTATGCAAAAGCACTGCACAAATAATTTCCTTCTCACTGCTCAGACTCCACAAAAACTGGAGTCCACTGAGGAGCACAAAGAAAAGGAGCAAACCAGGTGTCCTCTGGTGCCGGAGGGGGGGTCAGTGGCATGGCTCAGCTCTAGCTGTGCTGCCCTGGGTTTGGAAACACCTTGTGTGGGAAGGCTGCTGCAAAGAAGCAAAGCACACCTGAGTCAAGGTTGGGGAATCCTGAAGGCAAAGTACACCAACACCAACAAGAATGGACTTCCAAGATCAGTATGCTCTTAAATGCTTCATTTCTGTCCCTCCAGCACACTCATTTTCCACCTTGGGAGAACCCAGCTTTGAAGCACAGCAGCAAACAATACTTGGCCTCTTTGTTTCATGCAGGAGGAGCAGCAGCACCACTCGCCCTCTCCCCTGCACGTGGCACACTAACGCTGCAACTGCACTTTGCTGCCAGCTCCCTTCTCCATCCATCAGCATCATAAATAATCATAGCAGCGCCCACTGTCTGAATCATAAGTTGTATCTCATTTTTAATTGCATTATGTGTAGCTGGTCCACCAGACTATCTGAGGAAGCATACAAATAATTCATCTGTATCCTCCATTCTCCCCACACGTGTTTCCAAACAAGCTGGATTGATATTAGTCTTTGTCTGTTAACCTCATCTCCATCCTGTATACCTAGTATCTTATTTTCAGCTGCCATCCAAAATTAATGCTTCGCCTGGCATATTCAATCTCCTCCTATATCCTAAACTCGTGATTAAATACTCTTCAGAGACTGAGATGAACTACAGACATTCAGTGAAGTTGGGTCAAAAAATATGCTTCATTTTGTCTTACAAAAAATAACACGCTATAGCAAGCAGAAATAGGTACAATGCTCTTGGTGGTACATTATGTCATTGAAGCATAGCAATTTTGTGATTCTGCATGCCAGAGTCATGAGATGATTTAGTGAGATGCCACTTAAAACTGACTGACACCTGCAGCCCGAACAGCGCTGAACAGCATTCCTACCACCAGGCCACAGTGACAAGCTGCTTGCACCCAGTGCCATCAGTGCTGTGAACCCACCCAGCTCCAGGAGCACTCCCATGGTGGGAATGCCACTAGTTCCAGGGACTGTGGCCATAGACTCTCCCATACCCTGGGGGTTTCTCCCACAACCTCAGCAACCCATGGGTCAGGGATGGAACCAGTTGCCATGGCCATCGCACCTCCAGCTCTCACTGAGATCTGTGCAAACTTCTGCTGATGGAAACCAACCCCACCCACTACCAAACTGCTCCCTGCCCAAACAGCCCTTCACTGCCACTGCAGGGAGGCTGATGGCTCCTCCTGGGGGCTCTCTTCCAGTGCTTGCCTATGCCCCACACCCAGCATCCCTCCCCACACACGACATCCCAAAATGCACCTAACTCTCCATGCTCACTTCTGGCCTCAAGTATCACATTTGCTTCCCAATCCTACTATATTCATGTTTTCATATATGAACGAGTCTCTGCTGTGCAGCCTATTAGGGAGAAAAGTTCTAACACTGCCAGTAACTCAAACTTGCCTTTGGAATCATTCATTTTTCTTCCAATTCCCAGAGTAGGGTGGTGTGGACTGTGCAGAGCAAACAGCTGTCAAACATAACACTGTCTCCCGCTCATGTGTTGTCTGCCAAGAATTTAATTTCTGCACATTTTCTTGAAATTACTCCATGAATATTCTCTGCAAAAGCAATTTATTCATAAACTGTTTCAAATAATCAAAAACAGCAGAACATTCTCATTTAAAATGTGACCCGTTTGACTGGGGGCACGTTCACGCAGTACTCTCTGTTGCAGAGGAACAGCTGGTGAGACAGCACTTGCATCACATTTCTGGCCTGGTCAGTCACATCTTGGTTACTGAACTCACACAGTCCTCAACCTTACTTTAAAAAGGAAACACTTTTTCAGGGACTTGCTGTGGAAAGCAAACGCAAGACTGCTCAGCCTGAGTCTGTGCAAAGGCGACCCGACAGGACCGTGCCAGAATAGTCTCAAACAGCGTTCATGCTTCACACCTGATAAACACATCCCAGCAGTACTCACCAGCCTCCTGCAGAAACATACAGCCTTGTGCTTGGTGTGACAATCTGGAGACAGTTTTACTGGAACAATATTATGGAAAATATTGTATTTTCACGCCTGCCCAGGGAGGGGAGAAGGGTTGACAAGGGAGGGCGTTTGGGTGCCTGCTGTTTGCTCCATTCCCAAGTGTACATCCACTGTGCCCAGATATTTTCATCGTTCACAATCACCTTTCTCCTGCTAAGCAGTGCACTTTACAAGAAGCAAATCTCAGATTTATCGAATGTGTACATCATCTACCGCTGCTGTGATATGAGCCAGGGCCACCACATTCAGCCCCACAGCAAGCGGTGGAGACAAGAAGACACTGCTCCTGTGACCCCCTCACCTCTTTTTTATCTGAAGCTTCATGAGTTAGTCCCTGTGTGAGGCTGCTGCCTATCCCTGTAGGAGTGGGATGGAGGCCAAGGAGGCTATGACCTAATATTTCAGTCTGAACAGATAGATGGAAGAGATGTATTATTATACAGGAACACTCTCTGTGCATGCAATTATCTGATAACAAGCTATTTTGGGAGATGAATCTCTGAAGGACGAACAAAACTCTCACCTTGTTTTCACTGAGAAGCTCCATTATCCCTTTAAGAACAGAGAACTAAATGCATAAAAAATGATACAGAAAGTAGTAGAACAGCATGGTGCTGTAACTCGTGCTGAGCTCAGGAGAGGGAGGGGAAAGGGGTCAAGTCCTGCTGGTCACGCCAGCACATGAAATTTGGTAAAAACTATCCCTGCTGATTTAAGGCTAATCAGGTCTGTGAACAGTTGGACTAATTCAGCCTCTTCCCATGCCTCACAGCTGGATGCCTTCATGTAGGTACATCAGAAGCAAAATCCAAGTGAAACCTTTCTCTCATGAGCCCCAGTGCCTAACTGACAGGTAGAGGTCACGCTGCAGCCTTGTGCCACAGAGAAGGGGCTGCCAGGGCCTCTCTGAACCACCCGTCCCATCCTTGCTTGGGAAATCTGCAGGAACTTAACACCCTCGAGGTGGCTGCCCCTCTGCCATGCTTGACCAAGAGTCCAGTTTGGTAGGGACCAGACATGCAGGCACGTGGACAATGTATCTCTGATTGCTGGAGGCACTGATGCCCTCAGGAGAGGGGAGCAGGTCCTAGCTCAGCCCTCCTCACACGTGCTGCCTCACCCGTGCTCACCAGCAGCAGAAGGACTTGGCAGACACTGGTGTTACAGGACAGCCCAAACACAGCGCCTGGATGTTCTCCTGAGAGCAACAGCAAATTCAAAGGTGTTTCAGATATGTGTAACCTAATCTGTGCCTGGGAAGGAAAACATCATCAATCTTATCTTACAGATGAGAAAATGACGCAGGGAAAATAAATACTGTAAAGATGTAGGACTCAGCAGCAAAGACAACCCAGGTAGATTCACTTCTGTACTCCCTCTGGCAGACACCTCCCCACACCAATCCCTGAGAGCTTCTCTGATTTCTAGTTGTTAAAGTACACTGTAAACAATTGCAAATACCTGTAACACTTTCCTGACATCACTTCCAGAGAAGCCAAATAGATAATATTCACATGGGACATCAGGCAAACTGTACCTGCACAGGGCCCAGAGAAGGCTGTTGTTCCATTGCAGGAAGCCAGGTACACCATGAAACACCTCCCCAGAAGGCCAGGCAGTCAGTCCCCTTGTGTGTGTTTGTTGCTGATGCTGGATGTGATTTTGCCACGTGTTCTCCTTCAAGGCTGAATTTTTATTATGCCAACTACCACTTTATCATTCATTTTCACTCCCTTCAAAGGGGCTCAGAGGAAGATGAGATGAGCTTTTGCTGCCAGCCCCTCTCTTGATGCAGGAGGGAGAATGGAGCTGCTCGAGCTGCGGGGTTCTGGATGCCCACATCAGGAGTGGTCCCAGCTGCTTGGGGTAATCCAGGGTGACTAAAATTCTCTACTCCCTATATTTTGGCACAGAAAGCCATGCAGCATGATCTTGGCACAGGACATGGCATGAAAGGTGTGTGTGTGCATGCTATGATATTTCCATCCAACCACTTCTGGTTCTGTTTATGCTTGTAGAGTGAGAGCTATGTTGTACCCTCTTTCCATGTGAGCACATAAAAACAGTCCTTCTCTATTTAATTTTATGTTCATTTGTTCATAACATCAGAGAATGCAGGAAGACTAGAAGGTATTTTGCCAGCAGTTCCTGTAGACATCAGGATATCCTTTTAGATTGAGAAAATCAAGTCATTTCTAGGTTTAAATGAAGCACCAAGAGGCGAGCCACCTCTCTGTTCCGAGAGATGCTTTCCAAAGGCTGATCCTTTGCAACTGGTGTTGCTGGGTTAACAGTTTCCATCCTCCCTAACTGTAAATACTGAAGGCCAAGCATTGTTTTTATATAAATACAACCCATGATGAAATTGAGAAGGTAACCCAAGAGAGCAAAATGTGAATGTGCACACTCATACCACTGATCTGGCTTTACGCCTTGCCTGAAACACAAAAGACACTCCCCCAGACCTCAGTGAAGTCTGAATACACTCATAACGGAGAAATAAACAGAGGATTTAGGGCTGGATCTGAATAAGTATGGCAAATTTTACTAAAATGGTATTTAAGGCATCTGAGTTATAACCTTTGCAATAACACAGTTCCTGTTAGGGCAAGACCTTCTCTCAAGCAACTTACCCACTCTAACCCACCTTTATCCAGGATCACTGTTTACCTTCTATGTTAAATCACTGTAAAAACATGGGTCAAAGTTGTTTCATAGCTTTACTCTCTCAGTAATGTGCAACATGAACATAATAGTGTTATTAAGAAGTCAAAAATAACTTAACACAATAGCTATATAAGATTTTCCAATGATCAAACTTTCAGCAATTACTTTTTGTTAAGTTCAGAAAATTAGCATATTTGTTAATCAAATTAATTTAAAAAGTAGCTTTTAAAAATAAAAGCAATGCTTTAAATAAATATAGTCTTTTTTATAACCATAAAATACTTAGTCCTGTTAAAGGTAACACAAATACTAACACTCAAGCACAGTACTTAAATGATTGAAATGAATATTGTGAGCATACATGAGCTGGACACCGGGAGGGATGAGGATGCATTGCTTCGTGACATTCTCCGTCTCCTTTCTACAGTGGCACTAAGAGGCAGCCAAATCTCAGAACTACCCTAAGCATAGGACAGGAGTCAGGATATTTGTAACTGCTGCACAAAAACGCTGGTACCCTGTTTTTCCCCAAGCTATTTCTCCACACTACACCTGTAGCAGTTCTGGACCCTGCTTTAAATTTCTAGCCCAGCACGATTCTCAACCACAAAAACGTAAGGGCAGATCCTGCTTGCTTCATCCAACTGACTTCAACATCTACGCAGAAGGCGGCAAGCAACGTCTGACCTCTCACACCTCTTGCACTAAAGCTCACATTTTGTGAAATCTGGAAAACTTTCCTTACAGTACTGGCACCACTGGGTGTTTCAGGATGGTCTGAAGCTCGCTTTCAGAGTTCATGACCACTAAAGGGTGTTCACAGCTCTCCTCATAACTACAGGGCTGACTAGCTATGTTCATTACTACTTAAGTTAATGCCTATCAGCAAAGACTGCAACTGTCCTGCAGATCTACAAGGTGGCAATGTTTTGCTGGAATGAAATAAATCAGCTAGTTCTTACATTAGTATGTGCTATCTGGGTGTACCCTGAAGAGCAGTTTGCTAAAATTCAGCAAAAGATACATCTCAAATCTACCGATAATCTACCTAGCAACTGTGACCATTTGATAATCCCATTTACTTGGTTGTAGTTGTTCATTAAAAATCACCTTCAGGGTCTGCAGTAAATCACCAGTTTTGTCCTCACAAAAACAGCTGTCAGTGACATTTGTTGTATTCTGTTTGTTTGTTTGAACAGTTTAACAGTAATGTAGCCTGTAAGTTAAATGATAAAAGGCTGGAGAGCAAAACAAAGCCCGGAACTGACACAAGTGCTCTCGATTTGTTTTGATCTTCAGAATGAACAGGCCTATTCAAAGATGACAAAGGAATAAATTAGCAAATGGCTAATGCAATGCATGAAACGGCGTCTACAGGATTCGCATGTGCGCACGCACACACTTGCATACAGACAGCTTGGCTTCATTAGAAATCTCACTACCTTAGATAAATTACTGCATTAAAATACTGACACTGTGAGGATTTTAATACTATCACCCCCTGTAGAGGGCACTCCCGTGTGAATTTTTAAATGCTTTAAAAAAATAGTTTAGAGTTATTGAAATCTGTGACAAATGCAACAGCTCTGCCTCCCCTCACAGCCTCCCGTTCTCATCTCCGGTATCCTTCTCCTGTATTGCCTCCAGGCACCGCTTTGACTTGGCATCCGCGTGCCCGCTTCCAGTTTTGCTCAGTCCGCACGACAGGCACGCCAGCTGGATCTGCTTCATGTTCTCCAGGGCTTCATTCTTGGCGTTCTTCAGGAGATCTCCTTGGCCCTGAGGATGCACAGACAGACATGCAGGAGAGAGTCAGGCATTGCACACATCACTCGGGACCACAGGTGGCAATACTGCTCATCCTTGTCTCTGGGGCATACTGCTCAGTGCCATGGAACAGGTCCCAGCTCCCATCTCAAATCCACTCCGTTCTCCATGAACAGGATCAAAGCCCCTTCTGCAGCCTGGCACCAGCTCAGTGAGGAAGGCAGCACCCAGCACACTGGACAGACATCAGACTCCCACCACTTCCAGGTCACCACCCCTTGAGAGGTAATTGGGGCCTGCACTGAAGGAGGCTGTGGGGGAAGGCATTTCCTCTTCCACAGTCAAGAGCAAGGACCTGCAAGGGACAGGGCAGCGATGGTACATGTTACTCCCCTCCCCATGCCACTGCTCTATCCTTGCGCCCTGGCATCAGATCCCACATGGCAATGGTTGCGTGTCCCCAGCCAAGGATCCCCTGCAAGCCGTGAGACCCTGGTAACCCAACCCTCCTTGCACCCAGATTTGCTACCCAGCCTTGAGCCCTCCTGTAGCAGAGGCAGGCCAAGCTGCATGCCTGTGTGAAACACATCATCCTGTAGCGCTACAGGGAATGCATCTGAACCATTTTGTTTGGGACCTTCAAGCAGGTGAATGGGAATGAGACTTCATGAGCAAAGGGCTGCTTCTGCATCTTCTCAGGGCATATAAAGGTGAGGTGACTAGAAGGATGTCAATCCAATTTGCAACAATCAGGAAAAGTATGTTACATTAAATTTGTATTAAGGAGGTGGTGTTCAGAAATGCCAAAATGAATATTTATGCAACATTGATATCTCAAGTGCTGTGAAGCGACAAGATCCTGGTGCTACAGGACACAAATAAATAAAAGCCAAGACATGCATCTGGTCATTAAAATTCAGTATCACTAAGAACTTGAGCTCCTCTTCTCCTAATGTCACCCAAAGTACTGCTTAAAGCACAGCACCCACTGCTGCTGGTTATACACACACTCAGAAGGAATACTTCCATTGACTGAAACATCACATTCGCATCCCTGCAACCCAACCTGATGTCCTGTGGACCACAGGCACTTCCACGGGTCTAAGAGGAGACAACAGACATTATAGCAGGACCTGGGGCTTGCTGGAGAGGCGAGTGATCACTGCCACTCCTTTGGTTTTCAAAACATATCAGATGTGTTGGATGAGTCACAATATGACACCCTCCATCAGTGGGAACATCTCTCCACTCTCCCTTTCCCCAGAGCTAAGAGGAAGGATTTATCCCACACCGATGAGCACAGCTCCCTTTTTGCCAGCGCCTGGCACTGGACTCACAACGTCTGAGCCCCTGCAAACAATGTTCACAACGAAGAAACAATGGTGGCTTGCAAGTCTGCTGCACTGGTAAACACCACGTGGGAAACCACGTCATCCAGGGACAGCAGCCTGTGCCTGAGAACGTGATTGCCTCATCTCCTGGTGTCATGAATTTGTCCCTGCTGAACGATGCAAATCACTATCCAGATGCTGGGAATACAACTCAATGTGAGAATAACAAAAAGCACTGGGACTGTGCAAGTGGCTCTCTGCTATGTGGTATGAAGCTCTTCTGAAGAGATTTGTATCTCGGCAGCATGACAGTTATGGGAATACACAGACAAATAGCTTTGGATCCAGTGAGAAGGCATGGCTTGAAAAAACCAAAACAAGAATAAATTATGCAGCAGATATTTCACATAGCTGTGATCTCGATTTTAGGTCAGAGATTTTACTTACAGTTAAAGACAGTAGGCAGGAATTCAAGAGCCCCACAGCTGCCCCGAGGACCCATCCCGCTCCACTTTGGTCTCTGTCCCTGTCTGCAAATGCCACAGGAGTAGTGCCAGTGCTGCAGCGACAGGGACAACACTGCCACATAAAGTATTATATCACTAATGACATCATGATGTTATCAAAAAAGGTGTATCTCCTCAATACATCTTCAATCTCTCCAAACTGCACAACTGCAGTTTAAAGTAGGTTGGGTTTAGGATTAAATCCCCTGACTGCAGTGGGGTGGCTGCTTTTTCCTATCATGCACACAGGACCAAAGACACCAAAGGCTGCACCAACGAGCTGACAAAATCAGTGTGATGATGCTTTGCAGCCTTAACTTCTCCAAGTCAAAACCTGGTGCTACGTATTCATGCCCAAAAACAGAAAAATTCCCTTAGCACAAGAAGCAACTCAAAGTAGTTGAGAACAACTAAGTTAAGAACAACTAAGTCCAAAACCTGGGACAGCCCCTGCAACAGAGAAGTAAAATGATGATGATGAAGGCCCAGTGCCCCTAAAACACTGGTGTCCCCTGTTAGTCAGTGTGCCTGGAGAAACACTTCCAGGAGCCCATCCTCTGCTGCAGCACGGCTGGCGTCTCCCTGGGCAGCGGGAGCACTCACCCGCACTGCGCACGGAGGAGGATTTCCTGTCATGCAACAGCATGAGACAGATACAGCTCCATAGGATGACACAAAAAGCTTCAGCTTAGTCTATGGCACTTTCTTCACATCTCTTCCTTCTAAGGGTGAGGGCAAAGCATGGAAATCTTTCTCAGGTGGCCCACAAACGGTGTGTTTTACCAGGGACTGAGACACTCATTTGAAGGGAGCTACTCGGGATTCGATACACCGCTTGGAAGGCAACAGCCTGAGTCTGTCCTGCCAAGACTCACGTCTGAAGTCCCCAGAAGCCAAGGGACTCCACAACCTATGTGAAAGTGCTGAGCCACCCGCTCTCCCTTATGCATTTTCTTATTTCACATTTGAGTAACCGGGCAATTCAGATTACAGATTTTGTGTGAGGCAATGCACAACTTGTCTTCAGGTTTTGGGAAGACACACACTCCTCCTGAGCATACTTCCAATATTTTGAAGACATTCTTATTTTACAGCGATCTAAAAACAGAAATGGTCTTATCAAAATAGTGCAATTCCATTCATGTACAGTTCAATGTCTTAGTCTCCTCATTTTTTTTATTTTTAAACAGTTGGTTCATTTGAGCAAGCTGAAGGAGTAAAAATGATTTTAAATCATCTGTCATGAGAAAATTAACGACAAACCAGCCCCCTCTGACAGAGCTGTCATAATTCTAGAGACACCATTAAAAAAAAAAATCTGTGGGCATGCTCTGTTTGAAAAGCCATCTGTTTGCTTTGAAAAACTGGCTGTGAGCATAATCCACTTAAGAAAAATGTCAGCAAAATTGTGTCAACACCTTAACGAACTAAATACTGGATAGAAGCTAGAGTAAACTTTACAACTATGATTGCATTGAAACAACCTTCAAAAAACAGTTCTCGTGATCATCTCTGCACACAGAACCATCCTTCTTGCCCTTACAAACAAAGTATCTTACTTCCCAAAGAGAGATCGTGACATTCCACTCTGGCATCTATGCATCTATCTCCCTTCTGCTATTGGTATCATCAGCCTTTCTGAAAATAAAGAGTTGTGACAAAGTTTAAACGCAGCATTTGGCATGAATTATGCCAGAAGAGGTTAATCAGGTGTTCTACCTGAAAAACTGATCAAGGGGCCCATTTTCATTTAGGGTTAGGGAACATTAAATGTCAGATTTCATACACCTAACTACAAAACCTCAGCAGAAATTAACATTACTGTACAAATAATCCAGCTCTTCAAGCAACTGTAAGATTATAAGCCCTTACCCTTGACAGGTTAATACTGCTTAGAAAACCTACAATCTGTTGTGCCTTTCCATATTGCTCAGTTTCAGTGACAACCCATGAAAGGCTTTAAGAAGCATAAGAAGCTATAGACAGACACTGGCAATGACCACAGATGGGACAAATTCCTTATGTTGCTGGTTCAATTGGGGTTTTTTTCTCCAATCAAATACCTACGTTTTTGAGTCAAGATGGCAGCTCTATATCCAACAGCAATCCACTCCAGGGTTGGGGAAGTGAAAGGTGGGTTGGGATAGGTTAGAGGCACCATTTTGTGTTCAACTTCACAATATTATTTCTTTTATATACGTTGCATGTTTATTTCTACATAACTGTCAATATATGAGCATGGGTATGTGCATTAATAATTACTATTTCTATTCCTGTGCTTTCTGGGAAACACCCCACAACATGTAGGTCGTGAGGCACTGCTAGTTGTGGGGACCCCGCAGCACTGCGGACCCGGTTATGGCTCAGGCAGGACCCTCAGCCCTTGTGTTGGCAGGTGCCCACACCAGCATCAGGGGCTGCAGGAGGGTCCTGAAGGCCACCCCTCGGCCCATGCAGAAGTGAACTGTACTGACAGGTTGCCCTACACAAGCACTTTGCTTTACTGCTGGCGAAGAAGAAAATCCCACTTGAGCAATAGGGCCTTCCTGGCATTCAAAACTGGCCGTGTTTCCAGAGAGGCTGAAACAGTGGCTGCAAAAGCCATTTTGTAATCTGCTGCTTGCTAAAGCAGACGGTTGCTTATCTCTTGGGCAGACATATTCTCTGACAGCACATTATGGGAGCTTTCCTCTCCAATCCTCAAGGGCTGAGTAAATACAAATAAATAACAGTCTTAACACTCATCCCACATCACGCTCATGATATTACTGTTATTTTTTACCTTTTTCTCAAAGAGTCAAGCTCTTACATTATTATTTAATCACAAAGCAAAATCTCCAGAGGCTGCCAGTGAACACCAGTGGTTGGTTGAAAAAGCCAGACACAGCCACATAAAACAGCCGCAAGCGTTGCGTCACTCCACGTTTCAGAGGCAACACGGGTACGGTAACGGCACTGACAGTCTGTGCCAAGGGACTCAGATAGCCAAAATGCTGGAGAGCTGCTGTAATATTGGGATATTCTGTGTGGAGGTAGCATTCACTGCAAAGGGTGCATTTTCAAGGTATCATAGTGGGACTTTAATTGTGTTCAGTATTAATAAGAAGGCACATAATTAAGTGATCGTACATGGCTTTGAAAATGTAATCCTGGGGAGGAAATCATTAATGAAATT